TAGATTTAGGCACTGGAACGATCTTGATGTTTTTCCATGATTCAGGTATAATACTTTTGGAAAACGATTCGTTGAAAATGTCAGTTAGCGGGGAACACAAGATGTCGGCACACTCTTAAGGATAACAGCAGGAACACCATCAGGACCGAGGGACTGAGTAGGCTTGAGAGATTGAAGACACTTGAGGACATCATTCGTGTTTAAGCATGAGAAGCAGTCATTGTTTACACTATTTGAGTTAGGAATCATAACATTTGCTGGGATACATATGAAGGATTCATTAAGCGTATTAACATCTACAGAAATATCATTCAACATTTGCTTACCACCTGTGATTTCCTTTAATAACTTCCACATATTTGATGGGGATTTACATGAAAGAAACTTCTGGTTATAGAGAGCATTCAATCTTTGTAATTCAAGCTTAATCAAAGTGTTCATTCTCTTAACACCAGATTTGTTTTTCATTTTGAACAACCTTTCTTTTTCACGGCGGAGCTTTTTGAGTTGAGAAGAGGAGAAGCGATCGAATTTTAAGAAGATTGTCTCTTTTGGACAACAAACATCAAGACAGAAATTAAGATAATGTGTTATGTTGGCAATTGTGTTATCAAGAGCTTGTTCAGTAAATAGATCCCAGTTTGTGTCTTTTAACATGGACCTTAGGTTCAGTATGTTGTCATGGGAATAACATCTGTGTTGTGTTTTCTTTCCAAGGTATGAGAAGACCCTTTTGTGCTGCTTTCCATATACTTTGGGCAATATTCTTATGATACAGTGATCTGAATTTAGTAGTGGGGCTCTCTTTCGAGCTTCAAATATTCCTGCATCGTTTGTGAAAACAAGGTCAAGAGTGTTGTCCATTCTAGTCGGGAAGTTGACAATATTATCGTGTCCAAGTGAAATTAGGAAGCTGTGGTCACTAGAATTAAAATCACCAGTAACTATAGACAAGGAATTTCCGAAGGAGGTGGCAGCAAGGGAAGTAAATTCATCCGCAAATAAAGATAATTCTGTGGAGTTGCATCCAGGAGCAATATACATGTTCGAGATGTAAATGTAGTTGTATTTTGACAAATGTTTAGGTCGACACTTAACGGTGAGACAGTCAATATTGTCACTAGAGAATTTGAAACATACATTATTAGACGTACACCATTGTGAATTGATGAAGATGGCGACACCGCCACCGCGTTTCTTCCTGGAACTACACCGATCTTGTCTGAATAGTTTGAAATTATTTAGATACACTAGATTGTCATCATATAGATCATGAAGCCATGTTTCTTGAAGTGATATGATCCCAGTATTATGATATATAATGGAAGACACCAGCGATTGAAGACAGTTAATTTTAGCCGGCAGGGAGCGACAATTGGTACTCATAATTGCGGGAACAGTCATGAATTGAATAGGGGTATTTTTTAATGCTCTCTGCCAGCCGGCATGATGCTTTTTCTTGTCTTTTTTATGGAGTTGCAGATCAGTAGGTTTTAAAGATATTAGATATTCACGAGAATAAATAATCCGATTTGAGGTCATATTTGAATAAGATTTATTGATTAAAATATCAATTAGAAATGAGAAATTAGATGCAATATGATTTGTAATGTTTAAGGTAATTGGTAGCCCAAGATTTAAGCAGGCCGCCAAGGTCATATATATATATGAGATTTCATTAACACTTGTGACACAAGCGTGGCGTTTGTGAAAGAATATATGGAAGATTTGAGTAGAGTACACACATCAAATGAATAATACTGTTATATCTGCCTGCCTACCGTAATTTCTTTGAAAAATTTTTATGTATTAGAGGCGAGTGGCTTTATTGCATATCCCCTCTAATTCTGGCATCGCAGTCCGTCGCTAAGTTGGTTTAGTAACAATTTACGTCTTTTATATGCTATTTAAATAAAATTTTGCATTAAAAACTTTTAAGAAGTATATAATGTCAGTGGCGCAATGTACTTGAACTGCATTACATATGCTGAGTTTGTATCAGGAAACGCCGCTTGATACTGATATCTGCGCAATGTGATGGATTAGATAGGCTATTATCTTGATTGGTTTGATGGTATTTTTCATTCAAGCAGGACTTCAGCATTAATTCCCTTTTTCATTGACTCATTACAGTCTGCTTTTCATTTTAAGACAGAAAAAACTGGCACTATGGGAATGATATGTAGCATTGTTGTTTTGAACAACAGCTGATCGGAAAATTCACAGTTGAGTACACATTGCCAGCAAGCGCAAAAGAAAAATTTCAAAACCCAGTCGCCGAAATGTACGCAAAACATACTCGGTATACCGAATAACCATTGCATGAATCATCTATTTAAGTGACCTGCCGCACAAACAATACATCCATGCTTAGGTACAGCATCAAACAACAATTTTCATATAAATTCACCCATCAAGTCACGTAAGCACCGAAATCACGTCAGCTCCATTTACCTAGACAAAACAACGCAGACTGGCCCAACACGAATCAACTAAACCGCGCGAATGCCAACAACCTTACCTAGGTGGTGCCACTCCAAGTAGGGGATATGCCACAGAAGCGCCCTATATACTAACCCATTCCTATTGTTTGTACTAAAATTGTCATTTAGACTTTGGAATAATCGGTGATTTATGATGCTTCACCACTATAATTTATAACATAACTGACGTACCTGTAAAAATGACACGCGTTTCCTGTAACCTTACCCTTTTATGCGGAACATCACTTATTGCTACTGACTGTCATATTATATATCTTAAGATCGCATCCCGCCGGGTCAAACGTTGATGACTTCATTATTGCATTTGAACTTCTTAAAGGAACAGTATGCCTTCCCAATCCTTAGTAGGCTAAGGAATAACGACGCGTTGGCAAGAACGCGCCATAGACCGTGTAACGCGCAGGCACGGCAAATTTATGAGATCATACAAGTGACACCACATAAGCAAAGGTATTACTAGCGAATAGAGAGATCACTTAGCAGAATATCTGATATGTTAGAGGTTAGTTCAAGGAAAAATTAAGGCTGATGATTGACTAAGGACAGATGTCAGTAACGTTATCAAGAAAATCCGCAGTAGTAGAAGACAACTTTCCGGGACTAGGAACACCCTGTAACTTGAATTCAACGCAAGAAGTATTAGGAGACGGACGGTGAGTTGAAGATTTATTAATCAACCAAGTATAAGCTAGTATATCAAGTTAATTGCACACCGGTCTGACCATGCGATTCACAGTCGATTACTACCAATACACTGAAAAGTTTGCAGACAACGCCAATATAATATACATTCCTACTTCTGATTGTACTGCTCCTGTCTTCTGCCGTGATTAAATGTCTACGCCACGACAGGGATTGTCGACCCCAACGAACAGGAGCTGTTTCGAGTAAACAGATTCATTGAATGTCCATCCAGTGTTCGTCATCATTGACAACAGGCTCGGAGAAGATTGAGATTGTTGTTGAATCGAAAGCTTACATATTCCTCTTTGATGGGAGTTGATAGCTTTGAGGCCATCGGTGCTTTCGTCTCGGTTGTATCGCTGTATTTTTTACTTGCCTACAGCCCTCAGTTTGCTTCTTCATCCTGTAACTGGAATTTATTTATCGGCTTCTTGTTTTGCTGCACCGGGTTTCCCTCTAATTTCTTCACTTATAAATGTAAATAAATATGGAATTTCCTACTAGCTGAAGTGCAACGTGAATGAGCGCCGTATGATATTGCAGAAACTGTTAGACTGATATCCATTTAATCTCACTTTGAAGATTACGTCATGTGAGGTGGTCAGGTAGCTTGCGCTTTGGAAAATGCCATTGGATGTGGATTGCTTTCATACCATCCCACAAGTGTAGGCAGGAGTGACCATAATATTTTTGTAACTGACTCTTCCATCGAATGTAATACCTCAGTTATCGACTAACAACTAGTATTTTCTTAGAAGAGAGTTGCAAGGTTTGAACACTTTTTTGAAGGTGCAGTGGTGAAGGCTGAATTGGAGAAACCTAGTCAAACGCACGTAAGTTTATTCACAGTTCAAGTCGTTCATTACCTGATGAGAGCCTTACAAATCACAAAGAAGATATAGTTAACACTGGGCTTTTCATCTCTTCCCTTTGAATTCCTTAATCACTAACTATCTCTGATTGGCCAAACTGAACAGTTTCTATAATACAATGGTGTTACTTAGTCCTTTGCAGGCTATTATCAGAGGATTCTCTTGAATTATAATAAAAATCTTTCAAGGTATACTGCAGTCAAACGAAATGGTAAGCGACTGTCTTTCATAGACTAGACTAAGCGACAGCCTGGCCACATTTTTAGATTCACATGAATATTGCACGTACAAGCTTTTGGGAAGGTGAAATGGCTTTCCAGACAATTCTTGTCATCGTAGACTTGTGAAAGGTTACCTGTCGGAGCTGAGCAATATACACAACGAGGACGGTATTTCTGTAATAACGAAACGACTAAACTTCGCTGTTCACTCATTATCGCTCGTGGAACTGCAACTCCTGAGAGACCTCCTGGTATCTGAAGTTTCATTCATACTGTGTCAGCATTTGCAAAAAATGATGTACCGCCTGGTAACCACATAATCAGCACACAAAAAGAATGCCCAGATATACATACTGTTTCGGATCGTACAGCGGTCACTGTTATTAGGTGATGTGACCAGGCAACTAAATAATATAAATTGAATGGAATGCATGACTATATGGCTCTTATCGAGGTATCAAAGTAGAAAAATACAAGAGGTCAAATTAATGCTAGGAAGCTGGAAAACCTGTTGAATTCGTCCCTCACTAGTTGACTGTTTCAGTTTTGGGCTCTTATAACGTAACTAACAGATTTTCAGAGCCAAGAAGTATATATCGAGTTAAAACTTAACTTCTTACACCTAGATCTATCAAAAATCTGAAGGTAGTATGGTTTCATAGTTTTAATAATTCTATTCGGTACCCTAAGAAGCGCAGTAATTTCAAACGTTTTTTGGGATGCGCTACCTTAAGAGTTTGGAGGCCATCGCTCGATGCAGGACCATCCCACTAAGTTGTGAGAAGGCCGAATTAACCGCAGTTGTCCCACGGAAAAAGGCTTTACTGCCACTGGCACCCATTGTTAAGTCTTCGCATGACTTACTGCAAACACTCCCCAGGTCTCCATTCATATCGTGTAAATGCAGTTTATCTGGTAGTTGCTTTTCATTTAAAAGTCTGACAGAACAGCTCCAATGCAGATTAGATTTGCCCACACGGATGTTACAAATGTTCCTGACTTCACAAATTATCGTTTAGAGGTGACTAAGGATCCTCACTCAAAAACCTCCGACACCGATGTGCAACGCAAAGTCTTTACGTATACGATGATGTTCGGTAAGTGTTAATTTTGCCGTAGAACTCATTCTGCAAGCTTTGAAAAGCCTCAGGGTAATTTCGTGCACACGTGTCCACGTGCGTCGGTGGCACAGTGGTTAGGACTCTCGCCGACCACGCACATGGTCCGGGGTTCGAGCCCGCATCGACGCACACCTGATATCTATGGTCGGCCTGCAAAATTTGGGCTACCGATGTCCATGCTGAAAATTCCATACTTGTACCGAAGATACAGTGTGGAATCAAGCTGTAAATCAAAAATAAAAAAAACCGTCATTGAAGTACATCCAATATCCTGATTACGAGCTAGTATAAACCAGTGATTTCTTTGAGCTCGCTTCTTGATTGTGAGGTAGAGGTTCCAACTGTAGATCCTTTTTTGTACTTTTGTTCGAGATTTTATAGCCTCTATTGCTTCTGTGCTGGTTTTAGTGAGTGTGGTTTTCCAGTGGGCCAGCTTGGATATTAGACAGGATTGCGTCTAACAAGTAGCTTTTGGTGTTATGAAATAATAATCGGCGTGTTCTGTGTTCTTCTTCTTTACTTCGGCTATCTCCTACGGGAGGATGAGCCGGCTTCATGAACATCTCGAATCATCGCTGCCCTGGCGCGATGCAAGGTTTTGCGACGGGGTTATCCAATTCTTGTTCCACAGACGGAGTCCGTAGACGGCTTGTAGCCCCAGGCACTCCATATCAGCCTTGACTGTACCAAGCCATGTTTTCAGCTGTCCACCCCTACGACATCGCCAAGATGGAAATGGCGAGGGATTTAGAATTGATTTGATTTGACCAGATCGTCATCTGGTCGGCGCAGAACATGGCCAAACCACCGAAGGCGACGTTGTTGGACCAGTACTGGAATTTGGTTGATGTTGTAGAGAGTTCATGAAGTTTCATGGGAATTAGGTACAAGTGATGTCCCCAGCATCGCTCGGCCTTTTGTTTGAGAGTGCAGCTCTAGCCTTTACACAACCAAATGTGACCTACAAGGCAGTAGGAGTGGAGGAGGGAGTCCACTATCCATTGTCAGCCGGTGACCGGAGTCCGGTTCATACGCCTTTTTGAATGGGGCCAGACATCCAGGGCATCCATTAAGCCTTTTGTCCATACGTCTGCCGGTGAGCTTCATACGCCAGTCGTTGGAGGTTTGGAATCAGGGTTTAGCCATCTCCCCTAGACTGTCATTCAATGGACAGTCAACCCGGTGAAGAGCTCCGGGCATCCGCTTTTGCCCTCTCACTTCGGTGAAAAACACCTCCGCCACGTGAAGGCAGTGAGTAGGACTTCCTCAGGAGAGGCTATGTAAGACGCCCGGTCATATGGGAGCATTTCAAGAGGTGTACGGAGGGGTGGCCAACCCGCAGCGCAAGGCACCCACCCCCGACCATCCTGGGGCTTTGGAGGATAGTGCAGTTTACATGAGCGTTTAGCATTTTCGTGGTATGTATACCCTTCACACGAAGTTCATGCATTGTGTGCTTAAGGGTGATTTATGGTTTTCTGAGTTCCTATGGATTGTACAGGATCGGTTAAATGCCAGAGTTTGTGGTTATTATTACTGTGTATTACTGCCCTCATTTGAATGTTTAGCTGACTTACAAAAGCCTGGGAATAAGAATACAAATCCAGAACATCCAGGGGTTTCCTAAAGGCCACTTGAGGTATGTGGAGCTGTGTTCCTACACCACTTTTATTTATAATAGGGGTACTCTGAGTCTCAATTAAAAACTGTTAATCTCAAAGCCATAGGTTACACAATCCCAACTTATTACTTCGGTTTGGGTGGAGTAAAGAATAGGACTTTGTTTTGATGTCAGAGAGAGCCACGTAATAAGTCCTGTTCTAGCTCTATTTTAGTTGTGGCAGTTATCAGATCAGAACGTTGCCAGTAGAGTCATAAAGTGTAGTAATTTTTCCGATTGTTGACCAATGCAACACATTCGTTTTGTTATTTTTTTTCTATCTGTTAATAGCGTTTCCATCTATTCCAGTTGTTCCATCATTAAGAGCGAACCACTAGTCACAATTTAACTTATTTTCGTTTTAGCGGGCGGTGTACTTGTTACCACATCAGCTAAGTTCGCTGTTAGGACGTTTATCAAACCTTTGGGACCTTCAGCCAGAACAATGGCGGAGGCCTCCACAGAAGTTAACCTTGCTGCCATTCCGGAAGGAAAAAATATCACAGTCAAATGGCGAAATAAACCATTATTCATCCGTCACAGAACAGCAGATGAAGTTGCACGTGAGCGCGCAGTTCCTCTAACCGCCTTAAGGCATCCTCAGCGAGATGAAGATCGCGTAAAAGAAGACAAATGGCTCATTTGTCTGGGAGTATGTACTCATTTGGGTAAGTATGATTTCTCTTAATGTGTGCAAAATGTGGTTTCACTTAGTTGTTACAAAAGGAGTAATCTCTTTGCTAGTACCGTTTATTTGCCAGTAACTTAGTGACCTTATTGCAGTTAAGGAGTGTCGTTTTGCCTACCACGCAAACTAGAGGAACATGGGCACGTAATAAGGTTAACGTATCATGTTCATAGCATTTTGGAGAACAGCAGATCACTTGATGTCTAGACATAGTATTTGTATTTTGAAATACATTTAAATGTTTTCGTTGTAATATTAAATTTAAACTAAAGAGGAGAAGTTAAGTAAAGGCCATCATTAATCTGCACTCCCTAGTTTTTCTGTAGAGTCAAAATGTTTCAGTGGTTGAACCATACACGTTTTTACTACTATAGTGATTTAAGCGTTACACAAAACAATTAGCAGCTGTCCAATGAGGCAACAAGGATTTCCTTTTGGATCTGTATATTTTATGTTGCATGACTCACTAGAGGGTGGCTATGAAACGCTATTGGATGTTCAGCAATTAATAGTGCTCATTACTAGTTGTGTGATTTAAGGGGATATCCTAGCATGTTTATTAAAGTTTTATATTAAATCATCCTGATTTCTTTTCTTCAGGCTGTATTCCAATAGCACATGCCGGTGATTTTCCAGGAGGATACTACTGTCCGTGTCACGGTAGTCACTATGATGCTTCTGGTCGCATCAGAAAAGGTCCTGCTCCACTAAATTTGGAAGTACCTGAATACAAGTTTTTGGACGAGAATACCGTTATTGTTGGCTGACATTTCCATGAAGCATCTTTATTTAGAACACTAACTGTAGCAATTTATTTTTCAGAGTGGAGAGCTCCTTTTCCAGTTTTGCTTAAATGTATTTCGGAGTAAGAATTTGTTCTTTCAGTATCTTATCATTACTTTATCACTAGTATACTCCTTTACACTTGACCCATAGTTCTAAATATCCTTTGTAAGAATTTGTTCCTGAGATTGAATGTTAGTAGCATTCGTTTTAATTGTGGTTAGCTAATCGTAATTCAGTAGTCCGGTGCGTTTATCGATAATCCATAAACTTCTTACTAAAATTGTGATATATATATATATATGGTTTGGTGAATTTCGAGTATTGGAGAGTGAAACACTAATGCTCCTGTTACGTTATCATTCAGTTTAACTGAAATGATGTTTTAAAGTTAGCCGTCTTAGCACGCATCAGTCTCTGGTGTTTGGCTTGATGGACATTTTTATTACGTTCAGTAGGATGTATCGCCATCCCAATACGTATAGATTACTATTTATGAAATACAATGTGATATCCCTTAGTGTAATCTGTGCTTATGAATCGGAATTTTCAGGATTGATATCCTGTTTTTTTTGTCTCAACTAGTTTGTCTTGAATGTTTACTTTAAGTTAAACCTTTTTCATACCAACTTCCATATTATGTATCATATTGGTGGCGACTTGAACTTCCGCACATTTGTGCAAAGTTCTATGTCGAAAACAGACAGACAGACAGATCATATTGGTGGTATTCCAAGCTGGTTGGGGAAAGAAATTAAATGGAATTAATGAAGCATTCAATATTCACCAGTGACGGAAAACTCCAACAAACGAATGTTTAGCCCTTAATTTCTCCCGTCAGAGTCCAAGTTTTTGAAGGTTGTTCATGCTGTTTTGTTTTAGCGGCCTTTGTTAGAAAAGTCCTCTGTTATTTTTATATATTCGAGTGCGCTAATCGTGACGACACAGAAACCGAATAATGAGACATTTTTTGGCTGTTTCAACTTGACTATCCAAACTTGTATCGAGCAAAATTCTTACTTCTGCTGCACTGATTGAAAGTTTATTTAAACACATAAAAAACTTGGAACAATATGGCACCAGGAAAGATGCGCCACACTACATTTGTTGTGTGAGGGCTGATATACTGCCTGGGCGCACAGACCAAGGCAGGTAGTTTTCTCAAAGGACCAACACCCCCCAAGCCTTTGGCTTGGAGTCTAATCCTCATCAAGGCAGCGGAGCAGCGTCAGGAGCTTCATTCCCATGGTTTCCGGTGACCCATATGGGTTCATACGCCATTTGATCCGATTGGATTCTGGAGCCCATGTACCCCATGGTAACTGCTTTCAGTCTAACCGCCATCCAAACAACCTTCCTGACATGGTAGGACTTGCAGGGACATGAGTCGCAGTCAGTTTAGCTTGTTGGGTCACTGAGGTATTCAAGCCCGACCACCACGGCAAAGTAGCGGTTGTCGGCCGGGGAAGTTGAGTTGTTCAGTCATGGTGTCACAGTTTTGCCTGGTGTTTTTGTAAAGTAATGTTTGGTGCCTGTGATGCGGCCGCTGGATATGCACGGTTGACATGGTGAAGTGACGGAAATGTTTTGTCCGATAATTCACAGGCTCAGAGGAGGGTGGTATCGCCTGGTCACGCACAGATTTTAGAGCTATGATATAGTAATAAAGTGTGAGATGTATTGTAACTCACCGAAAATTCACATCGTTGTTCTTAGGGTAGAACCGGTTAAAAGTGTTAGCATGAGTTATGCATTGTTTAATATTATTAAAACTCGTTGGATTATAATGATGGTGCTCATACGTAATATTATAGTGATGGAAACTAGGTCCGTTCACACCGAGTATATTTCTCTATAATACTGTTTATTGAATCATTTTGGTGTTTTACTAGTTCTCTATGAAGCTGTTTTGCTCTTCATAAAAGATTTTGATCCCTGCCAACGACGCGATGCATGTTTGCATCACAAACAAAATACTCACTTGACGAAACTTTCGTACCAGTTACTTCATGTCTTCGTTTCTCGTTTTGCCATTGTTACTATTTTCCAAAATATACATTGTATACATGTTTTTGTTTTCATCATGTTACTACTTATTATTTAGCAGAACTGATTAGTTACTGGCATATGTCCGACTCGTGTTTCTAACATAATTTTAGAGCTCACTTCCTAAGTGGACACAGAGTTACCCTTTACGACGATATCATTCGCAAGTTGTACAATCGCATATGCATAGTGAATTATCTTAGCTACAGAAGGAATATTTTCAAATATGTTTCATTAGAATTGTAAATTTTTGGTCACAAATTCTGTGATGCAGTAAGCGTTAATCGGGTAGAAACTAAAGAACTAAGTAGATTGAGTGACAATATGACTGACGGGGTTCAGTAGAATTCAACTGAATTTGAACGAGAGTCAAGTTAACAACTGTGGTAATAAGGGGTAGAAATTTAATAGAGGGTAAGGGGAGAAAATAGTACAATTAAGAAACAAAAGTAAAAATTATGTATCCGTTGTTAAGATAGATCAAGTTTATTGAAGATTCATTTACTGATATAACATGTGAATTGTCGTTGCTTCTGCTGTTTGAAGGAGTTTGATTAGTACTTTTTTAGTCAGATTCCCACGTATTCTGTAGATAACTTTGAAGTTACTTTGTGGGTTAGTTTGGTGTCCAGATTCGATCAGGTGTTCCAGGATAGAGCTGTGGGGGGATCTTTTTTCTCCTTTATAAGACCATGAAGTTAAGTGTTCGATGATACGTTTGGATAGCCAACGCTGGGTATGGCCGACATACCCAATTCCACACGAGCAAGTGATTGGTAGATGCACATTGATAAGGCCAACAGTGGTAGCTTATCCTTCACGTTCATCTCAATCGTTGGTTTTGTAGAGAACACGGTTTTTAGTGAGCGGGCGGGTCAGGCGGCTTCTCAGTATTTCTGCCAATGGGTCTTCATTGAATTGTAGATTCAAGTAGAGTTTTCTGGAAGCAGGAAGTGTGGGCGGTCTTATTGGCTTATGCTTCATGAATTTTGTGGTGAAACGTCCTGGGTAGTCATTTTCAAGGAGGATTCTTTTCGGAGCGCCAGCTACTCTTCCATAGTACCAAGGCTGCGGACTATGTGACTCCGCGAACAGATAAAGCTTCCCTTTGTATATAGATTCAGCCGACTATGAAAGTTAGTGAGTTGTCTGCTCCATGTGCGTTTTCTGGAGATGGATCTTTCTATTGCTCCATCTTGTTCATAACTTGTTATTTGAACTTCTAGAAAAGATATTTTTTGTGGGACTCCCTCCCTAATGTAAACTGGATTGCAGCTGTTGTAAATGTCCAGAATGTCCTCCAAATTCTCATTATTGGGGATAATGAAAGTATCGTTCACGTCTCAATATATATGAACATCCCTTAGTTCGCAAGCTGTTATTGTACATCTTCGCTTTGCTTTTCTGGTGCATTTCACGGTCCTGACTTCACACCGGATAAACGTAATCCCGAAAGTGTTTTTGCCGTGCAAACGGTAGCCATAAAAATAATGTTGCAGCATCTGCCGGATGTTTTCGCAGCCTTCAGTTAGATGTACTAGTATGGTGTGTATCAAATAACAACTAACAAGACTGAGTTTTCAACACTTTCATGTATAATTTTAATTATAGCGTTGAGGTAAAATTCACTTTAGTGAAAATAGGCTTTTTTTCTGTCTGTTTTCGACATAGAACATGGCACATATGTGCGGAAGTTCAAGTCGTCACACTCCATGTAGCACACAAAGCAAGAGAAGAAAGTAGAAGAAATGCATAATAGAGACAGTAAACAGAGGCGTGAGACAAAGAAATAGAATTAACGAAGAACAATGTAGTTTCATTGGAAATCATAGGTTACATGGAGTGGATGCATCTTCGCCATTGCGAACGATTTTGAGCCATGTCATCAATAGTTTCCAACCATTGGTTTTTACCGTCCCGAGGACCCCAACCGGTCAGGAAGTCTGCACCTTTCTACGTGGCTTAAACTAACTGTTGTGGATATCATTGACTGATGACGTCATGTTTTGGTTTGACCACCGCTAGCTCTTTTCCAGCCTAACCCTATGTCAGCTAACAATGCCCGCCGAGGAAGGCGATGACTAGGCATACGTAACACATGTCCTAACCACCTCAGTCGATGTAATTTCACAGCCTCGTCGATTGATCTCCCCTCATTACCTAGCACTGGACGCCTAACCTCAATATTGATCACCTTATTATACCACTTCACACTGGAGAAAGAGCGCAGACACCTATGATCAAAGATGGCTAATCTTTTCATGTCTTCCGCTTTCGATTGCCAGGTCTCTCTCACAGCCATAAAGGAGGGCGGAGCTGACTGCTGAGCAGTACACCCGCCCTTTGGTTGATAGACAGCCGGATATCACGTCTACGTCAGGGACAGCGTAAACTGGCATATGCGGAACTAGCCTTCTGTATCCGTGCTGAGATTTCGTCAATGATCAACCCTTTGGGTCTAATGCAGCTTCTCAAATAGGTGAAGCGGTCAACGTGCTCTACCACTTCACTCCCTTTTTCTAAACTAGGAGTCAGTGTCGTCCAGTCCTGTAACATCATCTTACATTTAGCGGGAGCGACTCGCATCCCAAACATTTGTAGATTGCACCTCAAGGTGTTCAGAAGACTATTCACTTTGTCAGCGTCTTCACCTAGGAGGCAGGTCTATATCATCTGCATGTTCTAAGTCAACGAGATTACCCCCTGGTAACAAGTCAATCCCTGAGTCTTTGGAGTCACTTAGGATTACGTCCATTAGCAGTACATCTATGATGAAATTGAATAGAAATGGGGATAGTGGGCACCCCTGACGGACACCACTAGTCGTCACCACTTTGGATGACAACTCTCCGTAAGCTTTCACCTGGCTGAATGCATGAGTTCGAGTAGAGTGAGTGCCTTGATCAGTGCAATGTATTTTCCCGGCATTCCCTTTACG